ATCTTGTATGCCAGAGGTTTTCTATACCATCAATTATTCTCTGAAGTGTTTCATTAGTTCCCTAAATTCAGGTTAACTCTTTAGACTTTAGTTTCCACTACACAAAATTCTGTACTAATGTCTCTCATTCACTTGGTCCTGTCAATCTTGATTTAATTTTTTTATTCATTGTACATTTGTTATTCTCTCTGCTTGAAAAGCCCTCCCTCCCATATTTACACAATTCCAAATCCTTTTAATCCTTTGGAACAGAGTTCAAAGAGCAAATTTCAAACAATGTTTCTATGTCCTATTTTTTTGCATCATACCTATTGTATTTCCTTTACAAATTTATTAGTAATTAATTATATTTAGAATATTATTTCCTTCATAGTATAGTGTAAGATGTGTGTGTATGTGTGTGTGCACGTGTTTATGTGTTAGTGGGCTTTGAATTCAGGATTTCATGTTTATTAAAAAGTAAAACAAAGCTACCAGCACACTATGTTTATTGCAGCATTATTCACCATTGATAACATATGGAACCAACCCAGATGATGCCCCAGAGTAGATGAATGGATCAAGAAAATGTGGTACATATGTGTGTGTGTGTGTGTGTGTGTGTGTGTGTGTGTGAATCCTATGCCTCCATCAGAAAGAACAATTTGTTTCTCTAGGACCATTCTGATAGACAATTGATGCAGTGGTCAGATCTGCCTAAATCTTTCACATTAGCTCCTGACTCTTGATAGTGAGTGGAGTTTTATCTCTTTAAAACATATGAGTTATAAGCATTGCATTGAGTACTTTTGATTTTGGAAAATCACAATTTAAATGAGCAGTCACACTCCCATCAATAGAGAAGAATTTCAAGATGCAAACATAAAAGGGTTCCAAATAGGGAAAGATGAAGAAAAACTCTCCCTCTTTACAGATGACATGATCTTGTATTTGAAGAATCCCACAGACTCTATTCCCAAATTACTCAAGCTGATTCAAAACTTTGGCAATGTAGCAGCATATAAAATTAACCTTCAAAAATCAATGGCTTTTCTGTATGCCAACAACGAGAAAAGTGTGGCTGAAATCAGAAAAGCAACTCCATTTGTAATAGCCCCACAAAAAAAATACCTAGGAATTGAAGGACCTTTATGATGAAAATTTTAAAAAACCTGAAAAAGAAAAACAAGTCGTTTAAGGATACAGGTGGACCTATTGCAACAATGAGAAGTACAAGTTGTCATGTCAAAAACAAACTTTACAAACGTTGGTGCGGGGGGGGGAGGGGGAAGGATTGGGTGGGG